AAGCAGCTGCACTCAGAGCTAAACTGGAATCATAGAGGTGATCAGTGAATGCTGGGATTTTTGACATGTTCCAAATATTAGCAGAGATTTTTGAAGAGACTGAGCCAGGCCCTTCAGTCTCACCGCTGGTGGATGGTCAGCTCTTTCAAGAGTTTGATCATTACTTCCCAGCACAAAAGACCCTGAAACTGGGAAGGAATGGAGCCTCAACCCATCTGTGAATCAGCCAGGTGAACTGACTTTGACCATGTTGGAAGAGGATCAGGGGCTGCAAATGTTTGTGGCCTTAAAAGTACGTTTGAGACAGCTTCATACCTCTGTGTATTCTGGATAAAAGTAAAGGCAGAATATTCTGAGATTGCCACAGAAGCACTGAAAAGCCTGGGTCCATCCCCGGTTTCCTATTTTGTAAAGCAGAGATTTCTGCAATGACAGCAACCAAAACAAGATTAGGGAATGCACGACATCAGCAACACACTTCCGATGTCCCTGTCTCCCTCACACCCAGCTAAGGCCACCCTCTTGCAGCAAAATGGGCTCCAGGGTCCCACTGACTCAGCGTGATACTAAGTGAGTCGTATAATTATTTCATTATATATTACAATGGAACACTAGGAATAAAGTACATAGTAAGTGTAAGGAGCTTGATTCATCCCAAACCACCTGCCACCCCCACCTAAACCAGTCCCGGTACCACAAAGATTTGGCACCACTGGCCTAGCATGTTTCTGAGACTCCTATGTGTGGTTGGGATACTGATAGTTTGCTTTTTCTTGTTGGGTCAGTAGCATTCCATTGTATGGATGGTACCAGGATGGGTTTATTCGTTCACTAACATTAGCTCATTTCCAGCAGCTCTGAGCAGAGCCACTATCAATATTTGCACATAGGGTTTTGTGTGAACATCAGTTTTCTTTGCTTCAGATAAATGCCTGGGAATAGTGCCGCTGGGTCATATGATCAGTGTATGCTCACCTTCCTAAGAAACCGTTACACTGCCGGTCAAAAGGGTCGTCCCGTTTTACATTCCCACCAGGGACCTGTGGGGCTTCCTCCCAGCGCTCACCAGCACTTGGTATGGAGGGCGCTGTGAACACTCAGCCATTCTGACGAGTGTGTTGAACCTCATTGTGGTTTGACTTTGATCTCCCTGGTGAACAGCAGTGTGGAGCATCTGATGTACTTATTTGACAGTCACAGGTATTGCTGTACCTCCCAAATTTCATGAGTGGAAACTTAACCCCCAAGGCAACAGTGCTTAGAGCTGAGAGCTTTAAGAGATGTTGCTGTAACAAGTGCCTGAGAATAACAACTTCAAGGAGGAAAGATTTGTTTTGGCTCCTGGTTTCAGAGAGTCTGGTCCATGGTGAGCTGGCTGCGTTGTGCTTAGTTACATCTGTGGCGAGGCAGAAACTTCAGGGCAGATGGTGTGGAGAAGAGTTGCTCGCCTCTTGTCAGCCAGGAGGCAGAGAGAGGGACAGAGAGCCGGAGCTGTTGGGTCTCCTCCTCCCTTGTTCTGTTCTTTGCGGGCCTTACTCTATAGTGTGGTGCCATCCACTTCAGGCTGGGTTTCTCTACCTCAGTCTGCTGTCCCACGTGCCTGTTCCCTCTGCCAACACACACACCCAGGGAAGTGTGCTGTGCCAATTCCTCAGGAATTTCCCAGTCCAGCCAAGGTGACAATCAGGATTAGCGATCACAAGGTGGTTAGTTGGTGACGGCTCTGCCCCCGTGAATGGATTAGTGCAATCATCACAGGAGCGGTTCTAAAACAACTCAGCCCCTCTGGCTCCCTCTCACCCTCACCCACACACACCTAACACCATGGCCCCACCAGACCACTGTCCTCAGAACCTGCACCGCTGACTTCAGACGCCTCACGGACACACAACGTAAATGGACAAAGTTGTATGCTCTTCAAGGAAATGTCCACTGGAGTACTCATACATTTTTTGAATGAGAACTCGTTTTCTTTTTTGTTGTTGTTGTTTTGTTTTTTGAGACAGGGTCTCACTATGTAGTTGAGACTGACCTGGAACTCACTATGTAGCCCAGGCTGGTCTCGAACTCACAGCGATCCTCCTGCCTCAGCCTCCCGAGTGCTGGGATTGGGCGTGCACCACCACATCCAGCCGAGAACTTGTTGTCTTATTATTGAGTTTTAGATCCCCCTGTCAGCCTCCCGAGTGCTGGGATTGGGCGTGCACCACCACATCCAGCCGAGAACTTGTTGTCTTATTATTGAGTTTTGAGGGTTTTTTTTGTATATACCTGACTGACACATTGTTTTCTCACATATATGTTTTGTAAATATTTTCCCCCAATTCATAGTCTGCATTTTTGTTCTCTGAACTTTTTTATATGGAGCTGAAGGGATTAAGGCGGGTTTATCACTTTTCCCTCCAGAGGTGGTGCCTTGGCTGTGTTCTCTAAAAGACCTTAGCGTGCCCCAAGCTCGTGGAGAGTTCCTCCCATTTCTTTAGATTTTCATAGTGGTGGGTTGTATATGTGGGTCTACAGTTCCTATCCACATTTTCTTTTATTTAAAAAATGTGAAATACAAGCCAATCTATTTTCTGCACAAGGTGTTCAATTCCTTGACATCGTTTATTGACAAAGTAATTTCAGGCACACTTACATGAATTGGGTGTCCACTGCATGCTGGGGGAGGGGCACGTCACCGGGCAGCGGGGCTGAAGGCCCCACACTCCCACCTGGCCTCCCTCGGGCTAGCATCTCTCCCTGGCCTGGGCAGCGGGCCGGCCTCGGCCTGCTGGGAGTGGTCACTGGTAACTCTGCGGAGACAGATTATCCTGCCTCCTGCCAGCTTCACGGTCAGGGAAGGGAGGGAGCCACGCACGGCCTCCACCTACTCTGCGTCCCGAGGAGGCTAGGCATGAGCCCGACGGGTGCAGGGCGTAAGGCAGGGAGGGATGAGGCTGGGCGAGCCCCCAGCAGAGTCCTGCCATGAGAGGACGGCTGCTGAGGCCCGGGCCGGGCACAGGAGGAGCTGGGCAGGCCAGGCTGGTGGCGTGGACCTCACTGTCCCCTGCCACGGCCCTCTCCCACCCTGACTCCATCCCAGCCATTCTACTGCTGAGATCATCACCCCAGGGGTAACCAAGAGGGCCAGGCTGCGTCCATGGCTTCGACGAGGATGGCAGGAAACGGGCACAGCCTGGGCGTCCCCGCCTGGCCTCAGGGGGGCGCTCTGCAGCTGCTCAGGGTGACACAAAGGCCCCTGGTACCTGTGCGCCCCCCTGGGCGGCCCATGCCTCGCCTGGAGGTGGGAGTGTGTACCTGAGCAGTGCTTGTGTGAGCACAGCTGTTTCCTCGTTCACCCTGACGCCTGAGGAGTCAGTTGGCACTGGAGCCACCTGGTCGGGCAGCTGGAGCCTCAGAGAGGCCCCTCCCCCTCTCACTGCCCTTTTCCCAGGTCCCCCCCCCCGCCTTGGCCCAGGAAGCGCTTAGTAAACAGGTGTTCAGACTGTGCCCCACGTGGGTACCAAGAAGTCGTGCCCAGACCCCAGAGCAGGGTGAAGAGGGAGGCTCAGAATATTCAGGAACTCGGCGGTCCTGACTCTGAGCAGCCCAGTTGCTGAAACAGAGGGTGCAATGGGCTTTTGGCAGAGGGGCTGGGCCAGCAAGGCCTTGAGGAGGGCCCTCCGGGAGCTTGAGACCGTGGCCGTTTGCCTCTCGGTCTGGGAGTATTGGTAACTGGCACATCTGTGCTGTCCACGGATGGGTGGGTGAAGGGGTGGGTGCACGGATGATGGACTGCTGTTCTCGTCTGCAGTCCGGCGTGCGGAACAGGGTTCAGGGGCCCAGACTGGGAGGGCAAGGCGCGGAATCACCAGGCAGACCCCAGGGAGGTTTCTGGAACAATTCCGCTTTATTCAGCAAATGCACAGGGTAAGGTGGGGGTGGAGCCGGGACATTTGGCACATCGTTACTGGCCACGTGTTAGTTTTTGGATTGTGTGCTTTAGGGGCTGAGGCCAGTGGAGTCAGGACTTTAGAGTTTTTGTGGGGAACAGTTTCTCTGTCTAAGGTCAGCTCTCCACACACCTGAGGGGGCGGGTGATTCCAGCCCTAATAAGCCTCGGAGTTTTCTCCCGAGAGATGGGTGGGGCACTCCTGACTCAGCCAGACTTTAACCTGATCCTCAGTTCCCTCTTCTGTCTTTGACTCCAGAGCCTCAGCCAAAAGGACGACGTTTCTATGATTTTGTTACTGGCACGTCTGATCTTTAAAATAAAGAACAATGACAATATGGCAAAAAGGTTAACATATATGGGGGGTCCAGTATCAATTCACGTATCCAACTCTGCTCAGACTGTTCCATCCAGCCTGAAGTTTTGACCAGGTGGTAGCCCACACATTATTTAAAGGCACAACACCTGACACCTGGGTATTAACGCCTCCCAAACCAAGTTTAACTGGATTTGTAAACTGGGTACGGCTGTGCGGACATCTTGAAATAGCAGGGCGGTCTTTTCGAAGGCTCGGTGGTGTTTTTTGTTGGCTGGTTGACCGTTGCTGCTGTGGCCGCTTGATTCTGTGAGGTGACTGTTGCCGTGGTTGTCACAGAAATAGCTGCCACCATGGACACGATGACAGCAATAAGGGCGGAAATTGCAAAATCTCTCTTACCCAAACGGCCAGGGGTGTTCTAGCAAAATATAAACTCCACTTCTGTGTGATTAAACAAAGAAGGATCAATACAAGGGGTAAGAGGAACATGAAAGGGGAAGGCGAAACAAGATGGAGACGGGGGGTTAGGTACTTGCGGATGTATCCAGGGTGAAGTGGAGATCGAAGGCTCTGCGGTAGAAGGCTGTTCCTGGGCTCCCGGCGGCCCCAGGCCCCGACCGCGCAGCCCCC